TCCCAACTTTTGCATGGTGATCTTGTCTGCTTCCAATTTCTAGGTGGATCTATATATGTTTTTCTTTGGGTTCACCTTATTACTTAGCTTCTCTAGGATCATGAACTATAGGCCCAATGTTCTTTGTTTATGGCTAGAATCCACTAATGAGTGAGTATATACCATATTCATATATTTGGGTCTGGGTTATCTCACTCAGGGTAGTGTTTTCTACTTCCATCCATTTGCATGCAAAATTCAAGATGTCATTTTTTTTTAACCACTGAGTAGTACTCCAATGTGTAGATGTGCCACACTTTCTTTATCCATTCTTCTGTTGAAGTTCTGGCTATTACAAATAATACTGCTATGAACATAATTGAACAAATACTTTTGTAGTATGATTGGTCATCTTTTGAGTACATTCCCAAGAGTGGTATTGCTGGATCCTGAGGTAGGCTGACTCCCAATTTTCTGAAAAACTGCCACACTGATTTCGAAAGTGGTTACACAAGTTTGCATTCTCATCAGCCATGGATGGGTGTTCCCTTTACTCTACATCCTCTCCAACATAAGCTATCATTAGTGTTTTTGATCTTAGCCATTCTGACAGGAGTAAGATAGTATCTCAGAGTTGTTTTGATTTACATTTCCATGATAGCCAAGAAAGTTGAACATGTCTTAAAGTATCTTTTGGTCATTGGAAATTCTTCTGTTGAGAATTCTCTGTTTAGATCAGTACCCCATTTTTAATTGAGTTATTTAGAATTTTAATGTCTAGTTTCTTGAGTTCTTTATATATTTTGGAGATCAGTCCTTTGTCTGATTTGGGGTTGGTGAAAATCTTTTCCCATTCAGTAGGTTGCCTTTTTGTCTTATTGACTGTGTCCTTTGCTTTACAGAAGTTTCTCAGTTTCAAGAGGATCCATTTATTCATTGTTGCTGTTATTGTCTGTGCTACTGGGGTTATATGTAGGAAGTGGTCTCCTGTGCCCATGCATTGCAGGCTACTTCCCACTTTCTCTTCTACCAGGTTCAGTGTGGTTGGATTTATATTGAGGTCTTTAATTCATTTGGACTTGAGTTTTGTGCATGGTGATAGATATGGATCTATTTTCATTCTTCTACAGGTTGACATCCTGTTATGCCAGCACCATTTGTTGAAGATGCTTTCTTTCTTCCATTGTATAATTTTAGCTTCTTTGTCAACAATCAGATGTTCATAGGTGTGTGGATCAATAGCCGCGTCTTCAGTTCAAATCCATTGGTCAGTGTCTCTGTTTTTATGCCAATGCCATGCTGTTTTCATTACTGTAGCTCTGTAATAGAGTTTGATATCAGGGATGGTAATGCCTCCGGACATTCCTTTATTGTATAGGATTGTTTTGGCTATCCTGTGTTTTTTGTTTTTCCATATAAAGTTGATTATTGTTCTTTTAAGGTTTGTGAAGAATTTTGTTCGGATTTTGATGGGGATTGCATTGAATCTATAGATTGCCTTTTGTAGAATTGCCATTTTTACTATGTTGATCCTGCCAATCCAAAAGCATGGGGGATCTTTCCATTTTCTGGTATCCTCTCCAATTTCTTTCTTCAAAGACTTAAAGTTCTTGTCAAATAGGTCTTTCACTTCCTTGGTTAGTATTACCCCAAGATACTTTATGCTATTTGTGGTTATTGTGAAAGGTGATGTTTCTCTGATTTTTTTCTCAGTTTCTTTATCTTTTGTGTATAGGAGGGCTACTAATTTTTTTGAGTTGATTTTGTATCCTGCATCATCACTGAAGGTATTTATCAGCTGTAGGAGTTCTCTAATAGAGTTTATTGGGTCACTTATGTACATTATCTTATCTTCTGCAAATAACAAAAGTTTGACTTTTTCCTTTCTAATTCGAGTCCCCTTGATCTCCTTATGTTGTATTGCTATTGCTAGAACTTTAAGCACTATGTTGAAGAGATATGGAGAGAGTGGGTAGCCTTGTTTTGTTCCTGATTTTAGTGGAATTGCTTTGAGTTTCTCTCCCTTTAATTTAATGTTAGCAATCGGCTTGCTGTATATTGCTTTTATTATATTTAGGTATGATACTTGTATTCCTAATCTCTCCAATACCTTTATCATAAAGGGGTGTTGGATTTTGTCAAATGCTTTATCAGTATCTAATGAAATGATCATATCGTTGTTTTCTTTCAGTTTATTTATATGGTGTATTGCATTAATAGATTTTTGTATGTTGAACCAGCCCTGCATCTTTGGGATGAAGCCTACTTGATCATAATGGATGATTTTTTTGATGTATTCTTGGATTCGGTTTGCCAGTATTTTATTGAGAATTTTTGCATCAATGTTGATGAGGGAGATTGGTCTGTTATTCTCTTTCTTGGTTGAGTCTTTGTGTGGTTTTGGTATCAGGGTAACTGTAGCTTCATAAAAAAAGTTTGGCAATGACCCTTCTGTTTCTATTATGTGGAACTCATTGAGGAGTATAGGTATTAGCTCTTCTTGGAAGTTCTGGTAGAATTCTTCACTAAAACCATCCAGCCCTGGGCTTTTTTTGGTTGGGAGGTTTTCGATGACAGCTTCTATTTCCTTGTGACTTATAGGTCTATTCAAATTGCTCTCCTGGTCTTGATTTGATTTTGGTATATGGTATCTATCTAAAAAATTGTCCATTTCTTTTATATTTTCCAATTTTGTGGAATACAGGCTTTTTTAGTAAAACCTAATGATTCTCTGAATTTCCTCAGTGTCTGTTGTTATGTCCCCCTTTTCATTTCTGATTTTGTTAATTTGGGTGTTCTCTCTCCACCTTTTAATTAGTTTGGATAGGGGTTTATCAATCTTGTTGATTTTTTCAAATAACCAGCTCTTTGTTTCATTGATTCTTTGGATTGTCTTCTGTGTTTCTATTTTATTGATTTCAGTCCTCAGTTTGATTATTTCCAGTCTTCTACTCCTCCTGGGTGAGTCCGTGTCTTTTTTTCTAGAGCTTTCAGGTGTGCTGTTAAGTCTCTAATGTGAGCTTTCTCCATTTTATTTATGTGGGCACTTAGTACTATGAACTTTCCTCTTAGCACTGCTTTTATAATGTCCCATAGGTTTGGGTATGTTGTGTGTCAACATTTTCATTGAATTCAAGGAAGACTTTAATTTCTTTCTTTATTTCTTCCTTGACCCAGGGGTGGTTCAGTAGTTGACTGTTCAGTTTCCATGAGTTTGTAGGCTTTCTGGGCATAGTATTGTTAAATTCTAACTTTACTCCATTGTGATCCGATAAGACACAGTTGGTTACATCCTATTTATCTGTGGATGTTTGCTTTGTTACCGAGTATGTGATCAATTTTCGAGAAGGTTTCATAAGAACCTTCTGCTGAGAAGAAGATATATTCTTTCCTGTTTGGGTGGAATGTTCTATAGATGTCTATTAAGTTCATTTGATTAATTATATCTGTTAGTTCTCTTATTTCTCTGTTAAGTTTCTGTCTGGTTGACCTGTCCATTGGAGAGAAAGGAGTGTTGAAATCTCCTACTATTAGTATGTGGGATTTGATGTGTGATTTGAGTTTTAGTAATATTTCTTTTACATATGTGGATGCTTTTATATTAGGGGCATAGATATTCAGGACTGAGACTTCATCTTGATGAATTGTTCCTACTATGAGTATAAAGTGTCCTTCTCCATCTCTTCTGATTGATTTTAGTGTGAAATCAATTCTGTTAGATACTAGGAAAGCCACACCCACTTGTTTATTAGGTCCGTTTGATTGGAAATCCTTTTCCCAACCCTTTACTCTGAGGTAGCGTCTGTCTTTGAGGTTGAGGTGTGTTTCTTGTAAAAAGCTGGATCTTGTAAAATGCTGGATCCTGTTTTCATATCCATCTCTTATCCTGTGCTGTTTTATAGATGAATTGAGTCCATTGATATTAAGTGATATTAATGACCAGTGGTTATTAACTCCGGTTATTTTTTTGGTGGTAGTATTTGTGTGTTTTCCTTCTTTGAGTTGTGTTGGTGGAGGGTTATCAGATGTCTGTGCTATTGTGGGTGTTGTTGGCTTCCTTGGGTTGTGGTTTCCTTCTAGTACTTTCTGTACTGTGCTTACATCCATGATCTCTTCATGGAGCACATCTATCCAAGACCTTCTGGGTTTCATGGTTTCCATTGAGAAGTCAGGTACAATTCTGATAGGTCTACCTTTATATGTTTCTTGGCCTTTTTCCTTTGCAGCTCTTAAAATTCTTTCTTTATTCTGTTTGTTTTATGTTTTGATTACTATATGGTGGAGGGATTTTTTTGATCCAGTCTATTTGGTATTCTGTAAGGTTCTGGTATCTTCATAGGGATATTCTTCTTTAGATTGGGGAAGTTTTCTTCTATAATTTTGTTGAATATATTTTCTGGGCCTTTGAGCTGGAGTTCAACTCCTTCTTCTACACCTATTATTCTTATGTTTGGCCTTTTCATGGTGTTGCAGATTTCCTGGATGTTTTGTGTTAAGAATTTTTTGGATTTGATGTTTTCTTTGATCAATGAGTCTATTTCTTCAATAGTATCTTCAGTGCCTGAGATTTTTTTCTTCTATCTCTTATATTCTGTTGGTTATACTTGTCTCTGTAGTTCCTTTTCATTTATCCAGATTTTCCATATCCAGCCTTCCCTTGGTTTGTGTTTTCTTTATTGCTTCCATTTCGATCTTCAAGTCTTGAACTGTTTCCTTTACCTGTTTGATTGCTTTTTCTCATTTTTTTGAGTATCTTTGAGGGATTTATTAATTTCGTCTAACTTTTTGTTTGTCTTCTCTTCCATTTCTTTAAGGGAACTTTTCACTTCCTTTTTAAAAGTCTCCATCATTTTCATATGGTTATGTTTAAAGATGTTTTCTTCTACTTCTTCTGGGTTAGGATGTTCAAGTCTTTTTGTTGTGTGTTCACTGGATTCTGATGTTACCATGTCGCTTTTCAGAATGTTGGAGGAATTCTTGCTTTGGTGCCTACCCATCTCTTCCTTCAAATGAGGCCAACAGGGTCTTGTCATCTTGGTCCAATCTTTGTTGTGGCTGACTGAGTACTTGGGAGTTTTTCTTGGTCTGCCCTCTCTTAGGTTCCCTCAGCACTGGAGCAGGCTGTGTTTGAGGATTCCAAGGAGCTCATAGGCGAAAGGTGGGCTTGGGGGCAGGGTGGGTTGGGGGAAAGCCCAGCAGCAAGGACATTCCCAGCTGGCTGGCCAGAAAAGCTAGGGAGTTGTGGAGGGGCCCCTAGGTTCTAGCCCACTGGTAAGGTCCTTGAGAATGGGGTATCTGGCTGTCCAGGCTTGTGGGCACTGACTCACTTCTCAGATCCCCTCAGCAATGAAGCAGGCTATGTTGCAGGGTTCCAGGGACCTCGCAGGTGAAAATGCAGCCTTGGGGGCAGGGTGGGGATGGGGTAAAGAAAGCCATCAGCAAGAATACACCTCACTGGATGGCCAAAATGCTTTAGGGAATTTTGGGGGGACTGGATTCTGTCCTCCTGGGAAGGTCCCAGAGAGTGGTACTTCTGACTGTCTGGCTGTGTGGCCACTGACTCACCTCTCCGGTCCCCTCAGCATGAGAGCAGGGTCTGTTGCAAGGTTCCAAGGACCTCCCAAATGAAAAGGCAGGCTTGGGGCAGGGTGGGATGGGAGAAAGAAAGGCCAGCAGCAGGAACACTACCTACTGGATTTCCAGAAAAGCTTAGGGAATTGGGGGGGGGTGTTGGATTCTGTCCCCCTGGGAAGGTCCCAGAGAGTGGTACTTCCAGCTGTTTGGCCTTGTGGCCACTGACTCACCTCTCCGGTCCCCTCAGCACTGGAGCAGGGGCTCTTGTCATTTATCCTTCATTTAACAAAGCAGCTAGGAACCAGAGCAGTGGGGCAGGCATGAGTAGCTGTGCTGCAGGCTCTCTCCTCCCTTTTTAAATCTGGGAATGTGGAATGGTGCTATGAGAATGCACTAGTGGTTCATGACCTGGACCACAGTTATGGAGCGGGAGAGCTGGTGACACCTGCGTGGTTTGGTGAGCCATAGATCCAGGAATCAGGAAGATTGGGATTTGAAGCCCTGTCAGCTAACCATACCCATTGCTGTGTGACAATCCCAGGGTGCTCCTCTGTCCCACAAAAACAACTATGCTTCTCTTCTGTCTCCCAGATGCCCTCGTGGTTCAGGTCAGGACACGTGTGCCAGCCCAGCCTGTAAGAGCCAGTACTCTTTCCTCCTCCTCCTTCAAACTGGTTACCTTTTCCTTTGCTGACCTGGGGCATTAGCATGCAACTCCTGGGGGATTGTAACAGTGGCTTAGTAATAGTCTCTTCCTTCTTCCCCAGAGAGGAAGAGCAAGGCATTGTGGTGTTCTGCGAGGGCATAACTGATGCCACACCCTCCCTGAGGGATGGACACAGAAGGTAAAACAGCAATCTTGAACAGGACAGGAATTCCACTCTTGCCTCCACATGGCCACAGACCTGCTAAGCTGACCATGTCCCTGTGGCCGTTAAGAAGTTGATGGCTTTGTAGATCACCACAGCTGCATGTATTCTGGCTGTAAGATTCATGCTTAGAGGGTGACAGACGTCCTTGGAAGGAGGAGCTGGGCCCTGCATATCGGAGAAAGGGATTGAGGATTACCCTCCCCTCCTGAGGAAAGGATGGGTGTGGATGTGACCCTGAGGTATGGACGTGTGACAAGGCTACCTTTGCTGTGAATTACTCTTCTGTCAATGACGAATGCGGAGTTCACACTTTCCATTAATTTTATTGGATTTCCATGAGAATGAGCATTTCAGAGGCAAAAAGGATGTCCCTCTCCCCCACACCAGTCTTCATAGTTGTCCACACAGGTTAATCTGCGCCACTCAGACAGCTCCATTTTCTCTGTTGGAAGGTGACTTTCGTTCCTTTTATTTATTTTTTATTTGCTCACAGAGGATTATGTTTTAGTACGACATTTTTGTTGTTCTCTCTCTCCCTCCCTTGTCGGCCCTCCCCGTCCCTTGCTCTTGCCTCCCAACCCAGCGGTCTGGGTCTGCATCGCTTTCATACTACAGCCACCTTTGTGCCCACCCCTCCTCAATAACTCTTGCTCCCTTGAGTGACCTCCTACCTAAATTCATAATCTGTACTTACTCTCTCAACCCCTTATTTACATGTACACAGATATTAAAAATTAGAATATGCATATGAGAGGATTCACAATTTCTGTCTTTCTAAGACTTGTCAGACGGTGGCTCTTTTTAATAAGAAAGCAGAGGAGCCCAATTGCCTTCAGGTTTTACCCCATGTAGGGAGAAGGGAAAATTCAAATTAAATGGCTTTTTCCCTGAGGCTAGTGAAGACAACCTTTTAGAAGCAAGATTCTGAGGCCTTTGTACTTGGGAAAAGATACCCAGTGCACATCCCAGGCCTTCCCCGACAGACACACCTACTCCACATTCATTGCTGTGTTAGCCAGAGGCATCTTAAGTCAGGATGCTGAGGCTCAGCCAATAACTCTGGGGACACTGTAGGTGACAAGTTGTAAACAAAAGCAGCAACAACAGCAGACTAACATGGTTTAGACATGCTTCCTAGAGGATCCACATGCGTCAAAAGAAGGGTCATTTGTGGAAAAGTTCCTCACTGGAGGCTGAGGTCACTTCAGGGAGCTTTACAAAAAGTCCCACAAGTATCACTCTCACTACTGATATTTTCTTGATGGCCTACAATGGGTGGTTTCATAGCTATGAAGGCTTTTAAAACATTTCTTCGCAGCCCAGGGGACGAATGCTCCCAGAAACCTTCATGGGTGTCAAACTCCTCCCAAGATCACCTAGCAGGTGGCACATTTGAGCCTGGAACCTGGGCCGATTTGGGCCTCACAACTCATGATTTCAAGTTGTTTGCAAGTCCTTGGGGTCATGGAGAGAAACACAGGTTTACATACATACCCAAGACAAAAGTAACAGCACAAGGAGGCCAGGATGTCCAGTGCTCACATCTCACTCTATCACAGTGCCATGGAACATGTTGGCAGCGCCTCCTTGCTGTCTCCGGCACCAGTTTTTCAGCTTGCCAGGTGGCAAGATCCCTTAAGAATATAATATCTCTTCTCCCGGTTCCCAGAGGAGGGTTGCATGATGTGGAAACTATGAGGGGACTAGACAACCCATCTCTCTACTCGGCCGTGGGGACCTGCAAAGCCCTGGACAGTGCACCCAGGAGGTCCACCTCTCCTGACCCATCCTCAGCAGGGACAGGTACTAGGCCCAGAGATGTTCACATACCTTCAGGGAGGGCTGAGTAAGCCCACCCTCCGCTGGCCTGGAGCACTGCGAGTATTTGATATTGACTCTCTGAACGAATGAAGTCTTTTTTAGCTTGCCTTTTCTAAGTCCTTGCCACATGCCGGTATGGGCTCCTGAGTACCACCACCAATGAGTTCTCTGCCCAGAGTTGCTGGGACACTCTCTGAGAGCCCATGACCTCAACACATTATCAGTAGGTAGGCTCCCAGGGCAATCCTAGACCCTGACGTATAGAAGCTGCTTTGGTAGGTGGAAGGTGAGGGAAGACATCAGACGCTAAATTGTGAGCCATACAGTGTTCAGTGCCTTCCACTGCCAATGACACTGCCTTGTGACATCAGAAATAACCCTTAATATCTGGCTTCCTTCTTTGAGTTAACAAAAATGGAAAGATCGAGAATGTTCAAATGAGGAAATTGGAAGTGTGTGTGTGTGTGTGTGTGTGTGTGTGTGTGCCTGTGTGTATGCCCCTGTGTGTTTCTCTCTGTGTCTGTATTTTTATGTATTTGTGTGTCTGTGCGTATGTGTCTGTGTATATGTGTCTGTTTCTGTGCAAAAGTTTGTGCATCTTTACATGTGTGGGTCTGTTTCTGATGTGTGTCATTGTGTGTTTGTGTGTGTACTGACATATGCTATGTACTTGTGTATCTGTATGTCTTTGTGTATGTTTGCCTGTGTGTATATGTGTATGTTATGTTTGTCTGTATGTCTGTGTTTATGTTTGTCTGTGTATTTGTATATGTTTGTGTGTGTTTCCCTTATGTGTGTGCCTGTTTTTATGTATGTTTGTCTCTGTGTGTGTGTGTGTGTTCAAAGATGTTTATTGCAGCATGTCTATCTGGAATGGAGTTAGCTGAATGAGCAAGGTAGGCGCCCAGCAGGAGAGGAGCAGACATAAGTACAGCAGGGACATTGTTTCTGCAGGTAGTCATGAGGGCATGGAGGACAGGATGCAGGGACACGGGGCGGACTAAGTGCTTGTGACCTGGATGTTGGGGAAATGACTTGCTAAGTGAGATCATGAAGCAAAAGCAAAGAAACAGAATGAGAAGAGGAAGTTATCCATTCATTAGGAAAGTAAGTCATTGCAAGCAACCCAGCACACCTGCTAAGGGATTTGCATGCAAATGTTTATGAAGAGAGGGTTGAGAGACTTGGATGAAATGCTACTTTTTTACACAAGATGGTAATAATAGATGTCTGAGGGAACCATCTTGAGGATCCGATGAGGGCACTGTGGGCTTGGATGAGGGAACGATTGATCTGAAGTCACATCTTCTGGGAGACGCCGGGTGTGGGTGCCGCTCTGCTGACACCCAGCCTGGTGTCTTTCTTGTATGCTGCAACTGCCTTGCTAAATAAGCATGAACCAGACAGAGCTGTGATTGACTTGCTGAGCACATCGATTATTAGTCATTCTCGAGGGCTACAAGTGTGGATCAAAACAGATGACAGCCCCCTCACTGTAGGTGGGAGACTTTCACCCTGTCAGCCACAAGCTCAGCAATCACAGCGTCAAAGCAGCCGTCTCATTCCGGTTTAAAAATAACTGGAAATGCCCACTTGAAGTGCACGCGTGACAAGTGCAAGGCGTACGGGTGGGCCAGTTGGATGATTCTGACATTAAGCTGTCTATGGTGAGACATGCGCAGTCATGCCCAGGAGGTTTGGGAGACCCTGCACTGAGCAAGCCACTCTTCCTGTACAAAGTGACTTCACTCATGGGTAACTTCCTCTCCCTTCTCTGATCCTGTCTTTTGGTCTTCTGACTTCACCTTGTGCAGAAGGTCATTCTTGTTAGCACTGCTCTTAGCCCCACATTGACATATTTCTCACAGATTGGGAAACAGAGGCTCTGAGAGGCTAGGGAACTTGCTCGAACTTTGAAATTAGATATGTGGTAGGATCGTGATTAAATATCACACTACATTTGTGTATAGGAGGGCTACTGATTTTTTTAGTTGATATTGTATCTTGACACATTGTTGAAGGTGTTTATCAGCTGTAGGAGCTCCCTGATAGAATTTTTAGGGTCACTTATGTATACTATCATATCATTTACAAACAGCAAAAGTTTGACTTCTTCATTTTCAATGTGTATCGTCTGTATCTCCTTTTGCTGTGGTATTGCTTTAGCTAGAACTTGGAATCTATATTGAATAGATATAGAGAGAATGGACAGCCTTTTTTTAGTTTCTAATTTTACTGGAATCTCTTTTAGTTTCTCTCTATTTAATTTGATGTTGATTATCGACTTCCTGTATATTGTCTTTATTATGTTTAGGTATGTTCCTTGTATCATTGATCTCTCCAAGACCTTTATCATGAAGGACTGTTAGATTTTGGCAAAGGCCTTTTAGGCATCTAATGTGATAATCATGTGGGTGTTTTTTCTTTAAGTTTGTTTATATGATAAATTACATTGACATATTTTTGTATGTTGAACCATCCCTGCATCTCTGGGATGCCTACTTGATCATGGTGAATGATTTTTCTGATGTGTTCTTAGATTCAACTTGTCAATATTTTATTGAGTATTTTTGCATAAATGTTTATGAGGGAGATTGCTCTGTAATTCTCTTTCTTTGTTGTGTCTTTGTGTGGTTTACAAATGATAAATGGACTGCAAAAGAAATCAGGGAAACATCACCCTTTACAATAGCCACAAAAAGCATAAAATATCTTGGGGCAAATTTAACCAAACAAGTGAAAGACCCATATAACAAGAACTTTCAGACTCCAAAGAAAGAAATTGAAGAAGATAGCAGAAAATGGAAATATCTCCCTTGCTCTTGGATAGGTAGGATCAACATAGTAAAAATGGCAATCCTACCAAAAACAATCTACAGATGTAATGCAATCCCCATAAAAATCCCATCACAATTCTTTACAGACTTCAAAAGAACAATGCTCAACTTCATATGGAAAAACAAAAAAAACCCAGAATATCCAAAATAATTCTGTACAATAAATGAACCTCCGGAGGCATCACCATTTCTTACTTAAAGCTATACTATAGAGCTATAGTAATAGAAATAGCTTGGTATTGTCATAAAAGCAGACATGTGAATCAGTGGAACCAAATTAAAGATCCTGATATTAATCCACACACCTTTGAGCAC